ATTCCGCAATGTCTTCTCCTATGAATGATACCTCTTCATCAGGAAAATACATTTTTAGGGGTTTGTATCCTCCATCCATGGGGTTTTCAGCAAGGTGGTCTGCCAGTGCCTATCCCTTGACAGCTTTCTGAGTTACGTAAATAATGTCGAACTCACTCAACAGGATTTGCCACTTAGCTAACTTCCCGGTGGGCATGGGCTTCGGAAAGATGTACTTCAAGGTGTGAGCACGTGATTTTTGCCCTATGAGAACTGCTCCCAAAAATTCAAAATAAAATAATTTTCCTTTGGGAGTAATTTTGAGAATTCGCGTGGCATTTTTTGGATAATTATTTGTATTTCGTCTGTGAATGTTTATTCTATTTTAATTAATAAATATATATATATATATATATATATATATATATGTGTGTGTGTGTGTGTGTGTGTGTGTGTGTGTGTGTGTGTNAGAAAATAGTTTGTTTTGGTTGGGTCTGTCAGGAATGTAGAATTGACTGAATTGGGAAGAAGAGGAGGTAAAAAGAAAAAGAGAGAGAGAGGGTGTATGTGTTGATGTGAGGGGAAAAGGGAAAGGAGTGGTTGGTTCTTCACCCACTTCTAAAGTGATGGTACCAGCTATTTGTGGGGTCGAACATGAAACTATGGAAAAAAATGGCAAGAAGTCAGGGGGAAGTGGTTCAGGGGAAGCTGCTGAAGGGTTGATTAATCTAAGTTCATAGGCGAATGAACCTGGTTCATCTATTGAGGAGACCCTAGCAGACCTTCTGAAGAAAGTAGGTGTCACGACCCGAATTTCCCACCCTCGGGAGTCGTGATGGCACCTACTCGTGAAATCTAGGCAAGATGAGTGTTATAAATTCATTACCCTTTTTATTAAGTGTGAGCACGTGATTTTTTCCCTATGAGAACTGCTCCCAAAAATTCAAAATAAAATAATTTTCCTTTGTGAGCAATTTTGAGAATTCGCGTGACATTTTTTGGATAATTATTTGTATTTCGTTTGTGAATGTTTATTCTATTTTAATTAATGAAAAATACAAAAAACTATATGTGTTGCATTTGCATTTACAATTTAGAATTAATTAAACAGTAATTTGTTTCACGAAAATGAAAATCGAAAAAATAACATACTTCACATTTTTAGGGTTTAATGTCAAATTGTGTGATTATCTTTGTATTTAATTTTGTGTGATAATTATTATTAAGGGTTAATTAGTATTTTTTAAGTTAATTTTGGCTTTACAATTTATTTTAGAATTTTGGTAATTAGGAATCAAAAAGAAAATAAAAGAAAAAGAAGAAACAAGAGAAGAAGAGTTAAAAAATCGGACTGGGCTAGTTTTAAAAGAAAGGTTCAGGCCCAATGTCACACCCCAACCCAGGCCCAAACCGGCTGGTCTCAGAGACGGCCAAAACGACATCGTTCTCTGATGCCCAATCTGGGCCGTTGATATGACTTGATCCAACAGTCCAGATCACCCCTCCCATAACCCGTCTCTAGCCCGACCCGCTTACCCCGAACCATACCCGCCCCAGCTAAGCCTAAACGACCCCGTTTAGCTTAAGTGACTTAATCTGGATCATTGGTTCCCATCATCCAATGGCCTAGATTAATCAACAGATTTTCAATATACCAAAACACCCAAACCCCTTTCACTCACCTCATTTTCACCCTTTCGTCTCCAAATCAGAGACTAAAACGACCCCCAACCAAACCCTAGCCGCCCTCATACCCCTTCACCTGAAAGCCGGCGAAAACGATGTCGGTGACCATGAAACTCACACCTCTGAACCACCAAACCATCCCCTCTCCGAATCCACGCTCATTTTTCTTCGAATCACCCACGAGCCCCTCGAATCTTAGATCAAAGAAATCGACCCAAACCCTAGTTCATCTAAAATCGACCCCACATCAACACCACATACCCCCCATGAATCCTTCATAACAAATTCATCATGGATTCCTTTCGAATCAGACCAAAGTTCGTCGAATATCAAATCTAAGTTCAAGCTTTAGAACCCTAAATTGGGACCAGTGTGCAAGGGAGTCATTCGTTTGGATTTCTTGGTTTATTCAAGTCTGTTTCAGCATAAAATAATGATGCACGTTTGTTCTCCAACAAGATCAAATGTTTGGCATTATGTTGTGTTGACTCAGCATGTCATTTCCCAGTTCGATCCTGGCCGGTGAGTTTATTTCCTAGTTTTGTTTATTCTGTTGTCAATCTTTCCCCGTCTCTTTTTCTTTCCTCTGGTCATTTTCGGATTGAAACTCGACCAGTCCTCTGTTTTGGCATTTTGTTTATTCGACCATTTTGTTTATCAAGAACAAACGTTTGGCATTTTGTTTATTCTGTTGCCAATTCGCTGTTTTGTTTGTCATAATATTTGGGGAATCTGTTCTTGGTCTCACAAGTCTGTATAGTCAGTTGTGTGAAACCCTGCCTTGTTTAATAATTTAGTCAGTCAAACTGGTTCATTTCAACTTAATAGAACTTGTTCATCCCATGCTCGTGCGTATTGTTAAACAATCTTATGGGCAATTCAGTGTTGTCTTGTTTTTTTTGTTGTTGGAATAAAACACTGAATTGGTTAATCAGTTGAGTTTTGTGAATTTGTTTGTTTTAGTTGTTGTTTGAATATGTATCATGCTTGTTAGTCGGTTTAGGAATCATTAGTTAATAAAGTTAAGGGTAAATCACTGAAGTGAAACTGTTAAAATCAAGTGGAAGCCCATTCTGGTTGTCAGGAAACGTCTGAGTTTTAAATTCAGGTTGTCCATACACCTTTGAATTAAATAATGAAATTAGACACTTAGTAGTGGCTGTCAGGGAATATGATGGAACAAATACATTTCTTAATGATCTAAGTGTTAAAACAGGCTGGAAAAGGGGTCTGTTTTAAGGTATAAAATACAGGGCAGACCTTAGAATGAAATGGGATTCTGATAGAGATTGAGAACGGAGAGATATAGAAGTTCAAAAGAAATAAGAGGAGAGTTTTTCAGACCTGGGGTGAAAACATAAGTCTTAAAAATCAGTTCTGACGGAGCCTTGAATCAGTTTCTGAGAACTAGAACTCATAGGGAGAGTTTGAGGATCAGTTTTGAGCTTTTAAAGCTGAATTCTTCTACACTTTGAAACCTTAAGAGTTTGAGAGATTTCTTTAGACAATCAGCTCACACTGTTACATTGATTTCAAGAACATAAATAGTTCAAATCTCTTTGTTTCTGTTCTGTGCTTGGGTGTTCAGGGCATTTGAAGATATTTGGTGATATACTCGAGGGTGCTGGGTATTATTTGATTGCTGAAATATGTCCTATGACTGCCTAGTCTAATTTCTAGTAGATTCAGTGTTTTGGTTAAGCTTCTTTCTTCTTGGGCTTTGTGACTGTGGTTTGGTCTTGAACTTGGCTCTGTTTGTTGCTGTTGATTGTCAGCCTGCTGGTGTTATTGTTTGTTGCTAATACTGTTGCATTGTTGTGGCTGACCTCTTCTTCTTCCATTGTAATTGATTACCAGGTACACAGCTTGATCTTGGGTAATTGTGAACTGAAATGCGAAGAATGAACCTGTAATTGAAGCATGAGATCATTTGATTTAGTTTTCTGGTTTATGTATCAGAATGTCTGACTCCTTAATGTTATTAAGACCTTTGCTTAAAGTTGTACTAGTTGGATCGAAATTGTTTATGTCGTAATAAACTAAAAACTGTTTGTATTAGCATGGAATGTTAATCGTTCTGTCTCGAATGTATATGAGTTTTCTTCTGCAGTTTAAGTGTTAGTTGTAATTAGGTTCATTTAAATTGGTAGAATAAGTTGGGTTAGCTTCAGCTAGTTGCCTATTATCTTGTGTTGTAAATATGTTTGAAAAAGTAAGCCAACAATAATATAAACCTTTAGTAGTTACCTTTCTTTTCAATTAGCCATAAAAAGGGATTTTGAGTACACATTTCATATCTGCTCTAATAACTGGAAGCTGAAGGAAGAAAGTATAAATTACAAAGCAAAACGAATCCACTGTTTAAATATGTCTGATTAAATGATGAGCACATTTGTGAGCCGTTTCATGGCTTGCCCGGCTGCAAGGGTTTGCCCCCTTAACCCCGCCTATGCGGCTAATTCCGCCCCATCCAGGTTGGGCCCGTCCTAGGCCCAATACCATGCATTTATTAAGAGCCCTTGTCCCTCAGCTGGATTGGGTTCCATTGGGCCCAAAAGTTGAAATTGCATTTGGTCTACTAGTGTTTAACTGATAGACTATGGGATTTCTTAATCACAATTAATTAGGATCTTTGTTTTATTTTAGAGACAAACAAAAAATAGGAAATCATAGTCGCTTCTAGGCTGTCCTTTTAAACAATAAATGAGATGAGCCTCGCCGGACAAAGTACATAATTTGCGGGGCCCTCATTAAATGTATATGTTAAAACACTTAGATTTCGGGACGGGCTGTTTAGCGAATTTCACGTCCTTCCCCAAAATAATAACGTGTTAGTCTCTTTAGGCGCGTATTTTAATAATGTTACCACCCTAAACTCGGGTGCACATTTATGTGACCCAAATCCAAATTTTAACAAAGTCGGAATGTGTCAAAAATGATGGGTGCATTTATGTGGCGCAGTTCGAGACACATTTTCACGACGTTGCAATTCTCTTTTAAAATAATAGTAATAAAAGCGGAAAAAAGTTAAAATTTGCATATAGGTTCAGCAGGTATAAAATCAGATAAATAAGCCGAATATGACAGTTGAGCGACCGTGCTAGAACCACAGAACCCGGGAATGCCTAACACCTTCTCTCAGGTTAACAGAATTCCTTATCTAGATTTCTGGTGCGCGGACTGTAATACAGAGTCATTCTTTTCCTCGTTTCCGGATTCAACCGGTGACTTGGGACACCATAAATCTCCCAAGTGGCGACTCTGAATCGTTAAATAAAAATACCGTTTCGATTGTCCTTTAATTGGAAAAACTCCTTTACTCCCCTACGTCCTTGCAGGCATAGGTAAAAAAGCAGGTGTGACAGCTCTGGCGACTCTGCTGGGGATCAGACTCAGAACTTCTGGTTCAGGGTTCAGAATTCGAGCTTAGATGAATTGTTATATTTCACTTTATCTATTATCTGATTTTATTACATGTTTGGGCCTAAGGTGTTAAATGTTGCTTTTACCGCTTTGATATCATCTGAACTGTACATAAACTGCTACAAAATCCTTCTCTTCTCATCTTCGGGGATGTGTTCGCTGGTCGAGACTCCCTATTCTGTTAGTGTCATACCTTGAAATAAGAAAGAGGCTCGGACAAGTTACTAAGCCGAATGGCCTTTTGGTTCCCGGTACGTAGCCCCCCCTCGGCTCGAGTTGTCCGCTTGGGTACACAGTCTAGAACATATACCCAGGTTTTGAACCTAGAATAACTCAGCCTCATGCCAGATCCCTAGTAGGAATGTTAGTTTGCATCACGTGCATTTGACTTTGGAAGCTCAACACAGGGGTTGGGTCTGTCTAGGAGAGGTGTACCAAAAATGAAAAAGACCATCCTGATGCATCTTACTTGCTACTTGTGCATTTATCTGCTTCGGACTTGCATGTTTACCGGCTTTTTGAAAAATAGAGGAAAGAGAAATAGCAGTATGAGGGTAAAGAGAATTAATTGCCTGTTTTGAAAAACCAATGTCTTAATGGTGTCGAAACTCTACCAAATTTTTGAGAAAATGGAAAAAAGGAAAAAGAGTCTTATTTTCAAAAATAGTTTGTTTATCTGCCCGAACTACGCCAGTTTGATTCTCACAGGGTGTGAGATACGTAGGCAACCCCCATCGGGTCCAACTTCACTCTTTGCGAAAATAGCCAAAAGAACAAAAAATTTATTTGAAAATAATTAGGGGGATGCCATTCTTGTTAGAAATAGCCGAATGTCCCTAAAAGGGCGTCGGAAGGCTATTTTTGCAAGAACAGCTGCCTGTGGTCATTTTTTTCAAGGCTTTCACCGGTTAGCCGACACAGCCTTAAAATTTTCAACCCTGAGGTACTGAAAGGCCGTATTAGCAAAAACGGGTTTTATTTTAAATAGAAAAGTGTCCATGTTATCCTTGAGTCAATTGAATCGTGATTTTTACTTAACCACCCTAATAAATGTGCAGAATGAGCACAAGTCAGAATTTACACGTAACAATAGTGAACAAGATCCCTTTGGAGTTGCACATGTGGTGGGATGACTTGGGCGAATCAGGGTGCAACACGGTCAAGCTATACCTGGGAGGCCTCACTGGGTTGCTGAAGATTAATCCTAGGGGGATATCATAAAGGCTTTTGTTACATTTTGGGACCCGGCCCATAATGTATTCCACTTCTCAGATTTTGAACTCACCCCAACCTTAGAAGAGTTAGCAGGTTATATGGACATTACTGAGGGGCTAAGGCACAAATATCTGATTGCTCCAATAGCTGTCAATGCGCACCAGTTCATGGATCTACTGAAGATAAGCAAGGGAGTCCCGTACTCTGAGTTGGATAGGGGTTTTTCTACTCTGTAGTTCATGGGCATATAGGAGGGTTCGATGATCCAAAAAGTGGGGTTTGCAGCAAAGGGAATCGGACAAAATAGGATGAACATAGGCGGTTCGCCTTCATGGTAGCATTCTTGGGCATTGTGGTGTTTCCCCGGAAAGACAGAAAGATTGATTTAAAGGTGGCGGGAGTCGTCAAAACCCTTATTACCAATAACAAAAGCACGTTTGCCCCTATGATAGTATCCGAGATGTATCGAGCTCTCACAGCTTGTAAAGCCGAGGCAGATTTCTTCGAGGGGTGCAGTTTGTTATTGCAGATGTGGATGATCGAGCACTTGTGTCATCATCCTCAGTACATGAGCTATAGATCTACAGACAAAAGCTGCAGTGAAGAATATAACAAGAGGATTTCAGGGCTCATATTGTCGGAAGGGTTTGAAGACTGGGTATCCTATCTCCGTGCCATCACCGCGGTACAAATAGATTGGACATTGGGTTGGCTTCCTATTGTGTATATGCCCACCACTGGTCCTTACTTCCTCTTAATGGGACTCCGAGGTATTCAACCTTATGCGTCTTACCGGGTGATGAGATAATTGGGAAGATGTCAGGTGGTACACCCAGACGAAGATCTCAGTATTTATGCAGTTGAGGTTGGCAGCGACTGCCAATTTCATGAAAAGACCGTTCATTATATATGGAGCGAATGCCAGTATTTGCCGACAAATACTCGAGTGCGTGACCTATCCAGAGGTGAAGTCTCACCTGCTTATCTCGCCTGGTATAGAAAGAAGAGCATTGCAAGAGACGAACCAGAACGCCCAACCAAAAGACCTCACCTCCAAGATTTTGCTGAGTCATCGCAAGAACAATGGGGTTGGATTGCAAAAGAAGAAAACTACAGGGCAGAAATAGGCAAGCTGAAACAACAGATTAGGGACCTGGAGTTTGAAAACAGTGTGCAAGCTGCTGCCGACACAGGGGAAAAAAACAAATTGGCCCAAGAAATAGGGGCGCTGAAGACCCAAATCCGACAAATAAGAAAAGATGCTGACAACCAACAAAAGAGTCAGTCGGACGAAAGGTTGATAAATGGGCTAAAAAATTAAATCACCGAATGTCAAAAAGGTCTAGAAAGATCGGAAGCTAGCAAGAATCCGAGCCAGATGGGCAAGGGGTACAGAAGCGCGAGCAAAGCATATGCGGCAAATAAAGAGGGACTACGAAGGGAACATCACTATATTGAGAAAAACAATATCCACTCTCAAAGAGCGGATCTTCAGACAAGCCCAAGATGCAAGAACAGATAGGAAGCGCTGCTATGATCTGATGGCCCGAATGGAGAAACAGATGAATAAGTTTCAGGATCAACTCTTTTACAACGCTCAATTGTTGGGGACGCGGAATCAACAAATAGAGCGATTGCTTATGGAAAGGGACAGAATCAAGGAAAGAATCGACGATATCGGGCACTACATCACCATAAAGTGCCTAGCTTGTGAGGATATGTCCTGTATCACCTTCTTTGCTTCAATAATGATTTATGTCCACCAGATCATGGAAGATTTGAAAGATCTACAGAGGGGCCTTGTACCAAAGCCCGCGACGATGTTGAATGACGCCCCGTGGGCGCCAAAATTCAAAACTCTGAGACATTCACAGTTTGAAGTCTGTATGTTCCTTGTCTTCAGAGTCTGTTGTCCGTTGGAGTTTGTATTTCCCTTTTTGCATAAAGTCTGTAGTCTATATCAAGTCTGTCAGTTTCCTTTCAAAAATGTTTTGCCTTGTAATAGAACATTTTGCTTATGAAGATTGAAAAATCCAAAAATGGTGTCTTTATTTTTCGCACTTGTGGTCAGAACTACGCACGGTCTGATTCATGCGGGGACATGATATGTAGGCAATCCACATAAGATTCGACCAGCATCAAAAAGAAAAAATATATATATATAAAGGAAGGCATTCAAAAGGAGCACAATTATAAGAAGCCGGAATGACACACGTAACTGAAGCAAATGCATGATAGAAAGGGTTAACTGCCTAGTTGCATTGCATCCTCAATGTGTGTTTTCCTATCTGTTGAAAACCCTAACGCTAACAGGTTGGTCACATTTTGTTCTCTTTCAATCCAGAAAGGTGGTTGGTTGTGGTTCTAAAGTAACGCTTCCCTTCAACATAAAGGCAAAAGACAATGGCAGAGAACAACAGAATTAAGTGGGTTGGTACCG